CAGGCGTGCTGCACAACCTCTGCAGAACCAATCAACTGTTGGGCGCCCTATGAATCAAATATGTTAAGCAACTCATAGACTCCTCGTATGAACTTATCCTCGAGAAGCCACAGGATCTCCCCGACTCAAAACACGCGCGTCAGCCGCGCCACGTCTCCCTCGACACGCGAGCATACATAATATTAATGAAATGATATGTACACAAAAATTTATTTATTTATTTTTAATACTTAAAAAAATCATTTTTAGAATCCATACTATTAATGAAATCATAAATATAGATTGAAAAAAAATAATAATAATAAGAAGTTATAGTGATATGGTACACAAATAGTCACTTTAAACATGTGAATTTAGGTGAAAGGACTCATTTCATAGAAAATAATAGATATACTTCTATATTATTTTCAAACCAAAAAGATATATTCACCAATTAATAATAGAAAGAAATGTAAGAAATTTTAATAATAGGATAGATGAAGAAACAAATTGTGATTACACTCTCATGTCAAGATGGTGATTTTTTTGTGCTTTACATTATGTTCACCATACTATCAAGCCTAGATGTTGTTGTGACCTTATGAACACTATCATTGTAGTTAGAATTATATAATACACCTGAAATAAAAAAAGAAATAAATTTCACAATATCATTCAATTAACTATCATTTACATAGTCATCATTAAAAAAATATTATCTTTCATTACAAATAAAGTAGTATAATAATCATAACTTTATTAATCTTTTTGAAATGAATAGAATAGAAATAGAAATAAATATTCTGAAATATATGAAAATAATTGAGTGCAAAATTTTATAAATCTTTTAGAAGTGAATAAAATAGAAATATATGTTATGAAATATATGGAAAAAAATGGAATACGAAATCTTTGATAAAATGAAGGGAAAAAAAGTATTTGGAAAATATATTAAAAAAAAACATAAACTTATAACACATAAATATTCAATGGAAGAAAAATGTAAAAAAATATTTTTCCCTACCCATTTCAACCCTGCACAATCTCTGAAAGACCTGATCCGAAATATTCACCCCTTCAGCAATTACCCCGAACCATTAAACTTCCCTCTTAGTGGGATTTCTTTACCTTCACCTATGATAGTATTCAAACCAATTATTGAACATATTACAAAAGAATATTCAAAAACCTTATTGAAAAATTGTGTGAACGTGTATTAGATATTCAAAACAGTATAAAAAAATAGTGAATATTTATTTGCAAAATCGAACATATTTGTTGAGAAAGAATCATATATAACAATTGAAAGTGGGTGAAATTACATTGACCAAAGTTGAAACATATTGAAGAGTAAGAACTAAAACATTGAAAGAGAAAAACAGGAAAAAAGTGAAAAACATATAAAGTGAGAAGGAAATAATGATGTATTGGTGAGACAAGCTATGCGGTATAAATAAAAAATGAAAAGAAATTCATGCTTCTTTCAAAGCTACCTGGACATCGACACGAAGGGCTGTGAGATCCTCATCCCTTTAAACGACATAAATAACATATTAATCCATAAACATACTGAGTACTTTAAACCGCATAAATCAAAGATTAATCAAGCAAACATCTTTGACCAGAATCATTTTTATCAAGATCTATGGAGCAGTCATATTCAAAAGAAATAAATATGAGAAATATTAAATAAAAACTGGTGCGTGGTCGGTTGATCCCAGGGTCAACAAAATCACTAATGCCCTTAACCACATCTCTATCCACGCTAACGACTAGTTTTTATATTGTCAGACATACGCGAGCAGCCTTTCAGGATGACGAGCATGAACTGCCCGTCTCTGCTTTTACGTAGAATTCCTAGCAGTTACCTATTTTGTACCTAGATTCTGGATGTCCAACCCAAAATAGGAACCGATGGTCAAACTGGGGGCGTTATAAATACCCTCGCAGTTGTGAGGGTCCGGTATCTGAAGTCTTATCCCTAAATTCTCTCACGTATCTCTTAACTCTTACTAACTTTAGCATCAGAGTGCTTTGTAGATATACCCCCTCCTTTGTGATTCTAACATTGTAGACGAAATCTCTGGCCCACTACGTGTTCTGATCACCGGTAAGATTAATGGCCGTATGTGGGAATTCTGTTTTCCCCATCTTTTCTTTCCCCAGAAACCTAAAGATCAATGCAAACATTCAAGATTCCGATCATATCCAGTCATGATGACGACAATAATGCTCACCAAACCATCACCTCATAGTCCGCAAGGTCGACATCGACGGAGTAAACCCTTTTCTAGAGGACAATGTTTATACCGAAGAGGGACGAAATCACCGCATCTCCTTCCTCAGACGATGCAAACGACGTCGACGTCTAGTACATTGAGACTAGCAGAATCAAGAAAATTCCAGAAAAAGTGCCAGAAATCTATCAACTGATCCCAATACCGTCCAACGTTGATCAAACTATGGTAGCCTTGGTCCCGACGCTCAACCAGACGAACACCTTGATCCTCCAGCAAAATGAAAGGATTGAGGCACTAGAAAATAGACGCCGATCAAGATCTCCCCCGTAGAGACACAGACAATATAAATCTCATAGCCTATCGCCTCCGCCGAGAAAACATCACCAGACACCGGAGAAATAAGAATATTTACTGGTCAATGTAGCGGTAGAAATGTTGAGACTAAGCCATTGGATTGACTTAACTCGCACAAATCAAAATAAAAATCGCCAGTGCGCTTTATTGTTTCCAAAAGAAATGGGAAAAGAGTTGTTCTGGAATGGGCCTGCACTTGAACCAAACATCATACAAGGTCCAATCCAACTACGCTACATGAGAAAGTCTGCTGGAAGAGTCTTCCCTCGACCATGTCGGACAGTAACTTCACTCTTCTGGTCTACCTGGCTTTGCCCTACGGGGATAACCTATGAATGACGAGGAGAACCAATGACACTCGAGAGTTCCTCACGAGCATCGTCCATTTTTCTCGTCGACCAAGACAAGTCCTCCAGGGACGACCCCGCGACTGACGAGGAGGGTCAATGAGGGACAGAAGGACCCCGTGAGCATCCTCCTCGTAGGGATGACACTCAACACCTTCGAATATCACAGAATCCTCTTGATCCTGAAAAGACCGCATCCATATCCTCCTGATAGTTCGGTGGAATCCATCGAGGTTATGGACCACAAGTTAGACTCCACTACGCACGTAGGACCTGACAGTCTCCATTTGGGCTTGTTTGCCCATCCCAACAATGGGGATCTTGGCTCAACGCTGAGGGCTATAAATATCCTCTCATTTGAGAGTGTCAAGTATTCAATCTCTCACTCATACTCTCATACTTGCTTACATTTGCTCTGAGATTAAACCCAAAAGAGAGGGAGATAATCTAAGTACGGGAGTTGGTTATGCAAATGGAAGGTATTGAACTACCAGAAATTTCAAAATTTCCGATACATGCTGCAAAGCTTCGGAAATTTCAAAGTTTCCGGTACAAAATGAAAACATTAAAATCGGTAATATCAAAATTTCCGGTTAGCATATACCAAATATTATGAAATTTCCGATACAAAATACTGGATATTATGCAAAAATACCGTAAATTTCGTACTTTCTCACGAAATTTTCGGTATCGCCTCGAAATTTCCGATATCGCCTAGTGAATTTGAAAAATACGATGTGATACCGAAAAATTGGAATTTTTGAAAAAAAATTAAATTAGAATAATTTTGTTTTTCATACTCTTTGAAGGGTGCCATATATAATAGGGAATGACATGTTAAATTTGCTCAATTCTCTATCATTTTCCGCAAACTCTGAAAATATTTGGGGTACTTAATTCCCCCGCAAACTTGTTGCACCCACTTCAAAAATGAGAATGTGAAAGAATTATTTACATTCGCGATGTTAAACCCAAATTGATTTAAGGCTTGTTGAACACTTTATTGACATTGTATTGACTTAGTTTGTTATTTCCTCCTTCCCATATTATTTGTCACTGACTATTTTACATAAATTAAGAAACGGTAATAAATAAAAGAGAGAGAATAATAATTTTATCAAATTATCCTGATTAATTATTAGTGTATTCAAATTAACATTAATATTAAGTGAGAAAACAAAAAATTAAATATATTTATTAGAGAGTACAGTTGAAAAATTAAATATAAAATTGCATGGGTGATCTAAAATGACAAGTAATTTGAAACAATTTTTTTCATCGAGATGACTTCTAACTAACCGTTCACATTCCTGTATTTCAAAGTTGGGGTTTAATATTGTGTCAGCTACATGCAATTTGAAGTCATTGTATTGGATATGGGCTTAAACATTAACAAACAATCCCTATGATCGTGGATTGACTCTTGATTCCCGTGAATTTGGCCATGTTCATCTATTCAAAGGAATTCATTACGAGCTTGAGGCTAGCAGACTTCTTCATCTTCATGTTCAGGAGTGTCAACACATAATTCTTGTTTAACTTTTCCATCTGAGCGACAACGGTCTTGTGTGCATTGTTTTTGCTTTCAATCACGGTGTAAGAATGGTCTTGTGTGCATTGTTTTTGCTTTCAATCAACAGTGTAAGAAGAGGAATGAATGAATGTTTCAATAACACCTAAAATTCAGAATGACCATTCTCCAGAATTAGTATCTAGAGAGAAAAATGCATCATAACTCGACAAATGTATAAATATTGTTTATGTTGTTCGGGTCACTGGCCCCTATCCACTTGATGTTGTTGTATATAGGCCATTCTTAACACTCTTATTCCAAAGCACAACTCCTAACTAGAAAGAGAAAATTCTCCTAACCAACTCCAACAACTTTTTTTTAATGAATCTTCACTCATCTTGTTGTACATGTTGGTAATAGATGAAAAAAAAAGACAATATCGATGCAAAGTTCATCTCAGGATTTCTTTTCCACTGAGAACTCAAGGTACACATTATTGCCAATGTTAAAGCAAAAACAAACTTGGTAAATGATATATCTGAAGATTTGATGAAGGTAGAAAAGAAGTTACAATTTATAAACCGCAATAAAAGGCATAAGAACACTTCCTATCCAAAGTTGACCATCTTTCTCCTCAACTTCACTCACAGCTCTAACAACTTTTCCCTCACTGTCCTCCAATATCTGCAGCAATTTACCTTCAGGACTATACTTCACAATCACACCATGTTGTTTTCCTCCAATTTGAAACAGGTATTGAACCTTTGTCGGTATAGGAAGCCTGAGTAAAACTCCCCTTATCCCTGGATATAAACCAGTAAGGTATGCATACATAGATCTTCTACAGTGAATTGCCACCCAAAAATCACCATCTTCATTCACCCTCACATTGTCAGGAGCTCCATGTAGGACCGCAAAGATCTCTGAAGTTCCCGCCTTTTCTCCTTTTAGCCAATACTTACGTAACCTAAGCAGTAAGAAACCGTTGATTTAAAAAAGTAACACATTCACATGATTTCAGACATGGGAATATAATAACAACTTGTAAACATTAATCTTAGATTAGCAGGTTAACGTACTTCTTTAGTTTTTTATTTCTTTCATCGAAATATATAATTTTAAACAGAACCGTCAACTTTTGAGAGGTCCCGTGTGAGAAGCTGAAGTTAGCTTCAGTTGAGTTATGATATTTTTTTAAAGGGTCTTATTTAACTGTAAATTAACCGTGGAATATGTGTATGGAGACTCTTTTTGCCATAGCTTAATCATAAAAAGTGTGAGGCTCTACGTTGTAGGTCGTGTTGCACACTCTAAAAAACGGACCTGACTTCAAAAGGAAATAATATGTTAACTTGCTATAACACGTGAAATTCCTGTGGAGAAGTCTTATATTTGATGAGATATGGTCTGACATTGTGTTTAAAAGTGATGGATAATCTCATCAACTTGCAAACTAGTTTTGCATGTTAGAGTTTGGCCTCATATGTCGATTCCTAGGCGTGAGGTGTGTGTGACGAGAAGTCCTAAATGAATAAGATATGTCCTAACATTGTGATTATAAGTTGTGGATAATCCCCACCTTACAATCCGGAGAAGTACTAACTAGGTGATCCAGGGCGCGGAAACTAACTAGGAGATACATGGCATGGAAATTAACATACTTAATTTACTATCACACTTGCATTTTTGTATCCAAAAAATAAAAGACAGCTAGCTAAAGAGGTAGTAAGATTTACTGACCTGCCAATAGTCCCTTCAGAAAAAACAAAGAAGGAACCATCTTTACTTAAGGAAATGCCATTTGGGAATTGAACGTTTCTCACAAGAACCGTGGTTTCCTTTGTTGTAGGGTTGTATTTCAAAACCTTGCCACTATCATCCCCAGAAAATACCAGCTGCATGAAATTCCTGTTAAAAAATAATGTCAGAAACAAAACGGATGAAACAATCCAATATCTTTATTTCAGAACTCAGAACATCAAGTTAGATCCAAACAAAAAGCTTGACTTATGCAAAGACGACACATAGGAGTCAATACTTAATAATCATCCTAGATGAACCATTGTCACAAATCCCCATCTTAAGCTGTCATGACTCTATGAACAAATAATAACAAGATTTCATTCACTGCTATACTGTGATCCATCATTCCGGCATCGACAAAACACGAACTTCAACTTTAATGAAATACTTTCCTTGGAATTCAGAGTCTAAAAGTTTAACAACAAAATCATACCTCCTCTGATAAATCTCACTGCTTTCTGTAAAATAAACATTTCCTTCAATATCCACATCAACATCATTAGTAAATCTGAGAGGCACCCCTTCAGCTTCAGTTGTAAGAGACGTTGCTAAGCCGCCCTCGGGCCCAACTTTCATGAGTCCAAGATATGCATCTGCAATGTACAATTCACCTGTTTTCTTGTGAAATCTGAGTCCTAAAGGCCTTCCACAGATATGTTCAGTCTTCACATAACTAAATGGTGTGGCAGCTTCTATAGGAAGAGTCTTACATAATGACCTGTTTTTGAAATAGAGAAACAAGAAAATTCATTACCATTTAATATAACATAGCACAGTATTTATAATCTAAGAATGAACAAAAAAGTAACACTCTTGAGAAAGGAATTGTGACGTAACCTAACCTATTGGGCGAAGTGTAAGCAAAGTCAACCCAATTATTGTCATTCCAGAGCAAGATTCTACCATCAGCAAGGCCAGTGTAAGGTCCACGACCAAGATTGTCAAAAACAATGCTCTCAGGTCCTTGAATTTGCTTCAAAAATCTAACAGTAGAGTTTTGCAGCAAGTTGTGATGGTCTATGTCATTAGGAAGTTGAGACCATGGTGGCATGTCAACCTTCTTGACCTCAAAATCAGGGAAATTTGCAACGGGACTGTGGTTGAATGGGTCCAAACCGCAGTATAGGGCAAACAAGAGAAAGACAACGCCAAGGGTTTGAGTAATAGTCATGGTGTTGGAATGAGAGAGAAATGGAAGGTTGAAGATATTAGTGGGTGAGGGAGAGAGTGAGTGTAGTTATTATTGATCAATGGACGTGTTTGTTGGTGTAGTGAATACTAAAGCTTTCAAAGTGGGTTGGTTGCACCAAACCGCAATTTGACTTCAAATCAGGTTTTATATAGAAAAAATAAATATATCTGCCGACATAGTTAGCCTTTAACATATAAATTTAAATTTTTTTAATTAATATTAAAATAGAATAGAATAAATCTGAATTTTAACACTAATTCAAATCATGCAAATTACAAAATGAAAAATAATTATATTAATTAGAATTCTAAAAATTTAAAATAATAAAATAAAAAATAGAGTAAACATGTTATATGACAATTAAAGAATTCATTCATATGTAAACCTTACATTAAATAGTACAAATTCTTACTAGAATTCAAAGTACTCCTAACAACTTTTAATGACTTAGCATAACGATCTAGAGAATCATGATTAGGGAATATTTGAAAATTATCAATTCTTCCTTTACTTTCAGTTTGGCATCACACTTTTAGTATGGGTTGATAATCCTCTCAAGTGGTATCTTTGAGAAATAAGTTTGTATATTGAATGAACACTAACATTGTGTTGTCTTTGTTTCGCTTCCAATTTGAGATAGTTAGTGGCTTGATCTGCGGTTGGTTTTCCATAGATTTATTGTGTTGGTGGCGCTCTACCATACACAATTTGAAATGGTGAAAGTCCTATGGATGTGTGTATCACTGTGTTGTAGTGTCATTCGGCCCACTGTAAGTAGTGTCCCCATTTGTTTGGTACCTGAGATATTGCTGGAGAAGTTTGTTCACAATCTTCGTTTGCCCATCGCTCTGTGGGTGATAAGCTGTGAACATACGTAATTGGGTGCCATTCAGACGAAATAACTCTTTCCAGAAGTGGCTCAGAAAAATAGAATCTCTGTCTGAAACCATGTTGTGAGGCATACTGAATAGCTTGCATATCATGATAGTGAACAGTTCCGCAACTTTAGTAACAGTCAATTCTGTTAGGCTTGGTATGCTGACACGCCACACAACTCTTGACAAACTCAGTGATATCCTCGTACGTACCAACCCAGAACACGTTTTCTTGCAATCACCCAAAAGTTTGGTGGATTTCGCTTTGTCCTCCGATCAGGGAAGCATGGAATTCTTCAAGAAGTGTTTGTTTCAAGGGAGAATCACGAAGAATGAAGAGCTTCCCTTTGAAGAACATCAGTCCATTCAATACATGAAAACCTTTGTACTCTGAAGGTTTCTGTTAGACATCTTGTACAAATTGTTGAAACACTACGTCACGGGCCAGTTGTTTCCTCAACATGTTAATGAATTCCATATGAGGAATCGAAAGAGCTAAGCAATGAACTCGCGAAAGCATTATGCCCATTTTACTATGCAAGAGAACAAAAGAAAATCAAAGGACAAATAATAAGGAATTAAAAAATAGAAATTAATGAATTAAATAATATATATATATATTTAACTACGAGGTGAGGGTAGGTGGGCAAGTGAATGTTCAAACACACTGATCAAGAAAGAGTTACAAGTTAAGCATTCTACGTTAAGAATACACAACCTCATATCACCTTCATCACAAAACCTCTTCACAAAACTTGTCCCAAATTCCGACCTCTACCACATTCCAGTAGTTTTTTCCACTAATTCTCTCGTGCATTTTCGTAATTTTTTCCAGGTACCCCATAATATCCTCTAAGCGAATTATCCAAGGAAAGGAGCCAGCCGCTGAACCGTCAAGGCCTATGAAGAGGCGCAATCTCCAACCCAATGACCATGAAATCATCTTCGACAATTCAGAGCATGAGGCACGCTATTCGTGTCATGTTAAGCGTAAGATTTTGCCAACAAGGTATATATGTTCTAAAACTTTATCTGATCTAGGCTTGCTGGATGAAGTCAATATATGTTTCATGTGTTAGGATTTTTAGAATTCATGCATTTCGAGGCGTCCACTTTTGAGCGCATAACCCTTGAATTTTTGAGTTCTGTGGACAGGTACCATCAGACACCACACCGGCACCATGCATTTTAGGTTGTATAACACTGACCATCAGTTGACGGTTGAGGAATTAGGAGGCATCCTCCATCTCCTTATTTATGGACCCGGGACCATCCCATACACATTTAGGGCGAAATCTTTCTAGTTGGGTATTATATATTTATCCAAGTATATTGCTAAGGGCGCAAAGGCCTTTTGTATCCAGAACCCATGCTTCAGATACGCTCAAAAGAGTTTGGCTTATTCACTGTTAGGCAGAGGTGATAGCACAGGGGTGGCTACACGAAAAGAACTATATTTTCTATATGCCATGGCCCATAGGATTTCCGTGAATGTGGCCGCTTTCGCTGCCGATCATCTGGGAAGAGTAGGCTGAGCAACCTTTGGCGACATTTCGGTTGGAGGCATCATCACCCAGATATCCAACCACTTTGGTTATAATCCTGCTGTGCTTAATGAATCCCCAATAGTAGGTAATGATAAGCTGAACATGATTGCTCTGGTCAATCAAGGTATGATTCAGGTTGAGAGTGATCATTATGCTGTAATGAGTCAGAAAAGGTTTATTATTGCACTCCCTGACCCTGAATGAATTACTATTGTTGAAAGGAATAATTGGGTATATGTGGGCGATCTCCAGGATGATAAGGACGAGGACAATGTTGCGGACCATGACGTAGAGGACCAAATGGATGCGGATATTCAGGATCAAGAGCAAGTTGATCGTTCCCTAAATATGCCCACTCAACCAGGTCCAGGGTCACAATTTATGACTTAAGACCAGTTCTCATGGATGCAAGCTGAGTTTGGGGACCTCAGGGAGGAGCAAACACGTCAAGGAGTGGAGCAGGTTCGGCAGGGAAAGTTGGTAGATGAGATGCATAAGATTATGCAACATTTGATGTTGCAATTTCCTCCTCCCCCGCAGTGATGTTCTGTGAGTTCGCCTTCGCTCTTGTACAAAAACATTTGGATAATATTTAGTTCAAGTGCGGGGGGGGGGGGGGGGGGGGGGTATTGTTTTCGGTTTATTGTTTTACTATTTTAGTTTGTAGTTTTCAGTTTTTTTTTAATTTCAATATTTTTCGTTTTGTCTTGGTTTTAGTGTGTTACAGATTCAGGGTATTGATGCAGGATAAATGATGAGACTTGTAGTTTGTGGATGAAAAGATGCAACCCATATGTGCTCTCCAGGAAACCCCCGAAAGTTGGTACTGCTTAGGTAAGAAGTAATCGCAACTTTTCGACACTGGACTGAGACGAGAGTACTGTGCACCCGAGACTGAGATGAAGCTACATTACACTAAAGATATTTTGGAACCTGTGAGCTATACCAAACATGGTGAGGGTCATAAAAATCCAAACACAATATCATCATGAGAGTTCTTCAGGTATGTAATTGTCACTCTTAGTTTGCGTAAATATTTGTTGGAACTTCTATGCACACATAATCACGCTGAGGCACTTGTTTGTTGTTTAACCCCGAGCCTTTCCAGCCAACCTTGTCATGTTATCCTTTGTTAAACCCTCTCGAGCCTTGTACCCTTTTGTTTGTTTGTTAACCGCATGATTTAACCATGAGCCCAAACACTTCCTCACCCTACTTAGATAAGTGTTGTTGATTTCTGAGTTGTGAACAATCTTAAGTTTGGGGTTGGGACACCGAAAATAATTAGAAAAACTAGGTAAGTGCAGTAAAAAGAAAAATAAAAACTTGATTTTTTTTTTGAAAATAAAGAGAAAAGAAGGGAGAAGTAGAATAAAAGCACTTACCTAGAGGAGGATTTAGTATGAAAAGAGAGTTTTCAAAGAAAAGATATGATCAAATAAACACTTGAGTAGGAAATAAAGAATCCTGAGAGAATGGTGTTTGATACTCGTAATTGTGAATAATATAAATAACACAGGGATGAAAGTAGCAACACTGGCTATGAGCCAAAAACCACTTGTTTTCCTTTTTGTTTGTTTATCCCACCTTGTCCCTAAGCCCCGTTACAACCGTAAAGCCATCAAAAAGGGTGTGTAGTGTGTGTATGAGATGAAGATAAATGTTATTCAAGCTTATGAGTTGACTTTGCATTCTTTGATTATTTAGTGTAAACACTTTTCCCGAGAGATTTAGTGAGAGTTTGAAAAGCTGATAGGTAAAGAGATACCTCGACGTGGAAGTGTAGCAGAACATCAAAAGTCAGGGAAGAAGGAAACGTTGAAAAGAAATTGGAAAGAAAGTCGCGAAATATTGAGGTAGTATTGTGGTAAGAATTATGAGCAATTTGGGGGTGACCGTTTTGTTGTCTCGAGCATCACTTGAGGACAAGCACTAACATAAGTTTGGGGTTATGATCGGTCATCAATTCTACTAGTTTTCATTCATTTATTCGGCATGAATCTGCAAAAATCGGTAACACTTTGGTTCTTCTTTCTATTGATTTTTGAAGAGGTTTGACTTTTTCAATTTTCCATTCTCGCAGTGTTTTTAGTATAAGTTTATATCTTTTGTTGCATTTTATGTGTTTTCTTGGTAGTGTTTTATGTTATCAGATTCAGGAAAAAAGCCCCAATGGACTTATGCGAATAAAATAGGAGTTCTGATGTTGAGAGGAAGAATATTGGAGGTTACAGGGGTCCTGACATAACCACCTGTGTGTTGTAACTGGTTTTTTAATTGAGAGTCGCCACTATTAGTTTTTATCTTAGGGAAGAGAATCTAACAGAAAACCCTAATTCACAAACAGAGATTCTAGGTTTCAGACTTCTTTAGACGAAAGAAAGGTGTTTGGCACCTTTCATCTACTTTGTTCACAAGGATACTAGGTTTTAGGTTTGAGTTGGGGAAACAAGATTTAAATTTTATTAGGGGAAAGGGTTTAAAAAAAATTTATAGGGGAATTCGCTACGATTTTAGTCGTATGCGTACGTATCCTCTTATGAGGAATCAAAGTCCC